GGGAGGCGGGGGAACCTGCGAGTGGGGTGAGAGGGAAGGACAGAGTGGGGATGAGACCCTGCTGTGCTCAGAGCCCCCCGCCTTTTCCCCACGTGGCCACTTCACCCGTCCTGGAAAATCCAGCTTAATCCAGGGTAAAGCCCTCCACATGGCCCCTCTTCCCCATCCGGGTGCCGTCTCCCCCGACACACCCCATCCCTGCAGTTAGCATCACCAGATGGTATGGTGGTCCAGAAGTGCCGATTTGCCTCTTTCTGGCCCCACCCCCACCCCCCAAATGGACTCTTTTTCATTGGCAGGAGCGTCTCCTCCCTCTCATCCCAGCGCCAGGCCTCTGCCCCAACTCAAGGCCCAGCTGAGCACCTGTCCCAAAACACCACACCAGCACCAAGCTTGCCCTCCTCCCTGTGCGGCATGTGCCACGCTGTACCTCATCACAAAGGCCTTCCTTCCCTGTCCCTCCTGGGCCACGCCAACTGCCAGCAGGTGTCCTGTCCCCTCCCCACACACTGTTGCTTCCTAGAGTCCAAAACTCCAACCTACCCAGTCTCCCCCAGTCACAGAGAGGTCACTCTCTGCACTCGGACAGGGCCTGGCTGTGGAAGCTCACAGTAAGTGCCCGCTACTGGCCTGTCCCCTCTCCCTAAGGCACACCAGAGGTCACAGTTTCTTCACCCCAGCAGACTCTCGTACAAGCCCTCTGCTTGGCATGCCCCCTTTGTTCCCCATCCTCCCACCTCGGTGACTTCCCCCACCCAAGCGTTTGGGTTCCACTGCAGGCTGTGTGCACAGCTGCCTAGCCCTCCTTACTGGGCATTCCACAACAGAGAGCCCTCTACACAGGGCCTGTCCCGCCTGAAGCTGTCCTGGGCTGGGTCGCATCTCACCTCTCCTGGGATCCCCCCTCCTCCTCTGGACCCCTGAGGGGTTGTGCTCACCAATGAGCAAAAAATGGAAATCCTGCAGCTTGCGGGGTGGGGGCTCCTCCAGCACACAGGGCTGCCCACGCCCCCTCGCCCGGAGTGCCTGGCTCCTTCCTCCGGGAATTGGAATGGGGAGGCTCAGGGGCAGTCAGTCAATGGTGTGTCTATGGAGGACAATCAGAGAATCCCCCAGAAAGAGGCAAGGAGTTCCAGGCTGAGAATGGGCAGGCCGGCTAGCCAGGCCCAACTGGAGTTCCTGCAGGTAACGTAGTCACTCTGCAGATCTTAGCTGAGGTTCTACTGGCTGTGGCTCTGCCAACTGGACACCTTGCAGCGATGGGGCTGGCACCATCAATGCCAAAGGCCCCAGGCTGACTCTGGCCTCTGCCCACTCCAGGTTGGGCACCGCTGGCCTCCAGCACAGGTGGGTGAGGTGAAACTGGGCCTTGCCTACACAGGGGCTTCTGTAAAGAGAGCCAACACAAATGGACCCCACTGGGCCCTGGGCTGTCCCCAAGTGCCTTAACTCTCTTCACCCCAAGAGCCGGGCCATCAGCATGGGCTGCCCACCATGGGACAAATGGGGCAATGTCCCCAGGCCCTCTAGCTCCCCATCCTGTGATTTAGGACCTAATCCCCTTAATCCCCCTCAAGGAGGTGAGCTGGGACCATCCTGCTGACTCACTGTGCAGTCAGCACCTCTGCCCCGCCCCCAGCTCCCCCATGGCCTGGCTGGGCTCTTGGCCTGGGAAGGACCTGGGCAGGTGGCCACCCACCTCCACGGACACCCTCCTGGGCCTCAGTGTCCCTCTGTGGAAAGATTACTTTGACACCAGTTCCCCAGGGCCCTGAGTTCTGGGCTCTTCCCAGCACACCACCGCCTCCTGAATTACACAGTAGCTCTGTGGGTTCCCCAAGGCAGGACATGGCATCCTCCCCCTGCCACACCCAGAGCAGCTGTGGGAGACAACTGCTCTGAGCTCATAAGCGAGTATATGCAGGGGGCAGGGGGCCAATTCCACAGCTGGCAGCCTCTGGGGGCCAGGAGTACAGGGATGAGGAGGGAGGTCTCATCTCTGCACATGCTCAGGGGGAGCCGGCTCTCAGCAGGAGCAGAAGGGTGGGCAGAGACCCCAAGAACCTCTAAAGCCACCGGGTATGCGTTCCCTGTCTAGGGCCTATATGCCCCACCCTCACTGCAGCAGAGGTCTAAGGGGGCTCACCCAGACAAGACACCCCTTGACACCCCACACCAGGCAGGCATCCCCACTGGGCAGCAGGGCCAAGGCACCCCAAGGTATGCCCCAGGACTCTGGAGCTGCCTTCATCCAAGCTGAGTGTGGGGCAGTGACCACCCAAGGCCCCTCTGGGCACAGGGTCACCTGCAGTGTCCTCCTCCTCCCCCTGCCATGTTGGGGGCTGGGGCTACTGGAGCTGCTGCCACAAGGGAAGAACAAGAGATTCAGGAGGAGAGACTGGGCCAGGACCTCAACCCCAGCTTCTCAAGGAAGCCCCTTCCTCTCACAGGTGCACACCTGGGAAGGCAGTTCCCTGTGGACCCCACTCGGGCTCCTTAACCCCTTGGAGGCCCCAGCTTGGCACTGGCAGGATCTTCACTATGAGGCCAAGACCCTCCCCCCTTGCAAGCCTGCCGGGGAGCCTTGTGGCTGACCCATGCCACACCCACAGCCCCTCCACCCTTGCTTTTCCAGAACTTGGGGTCCTTGTGGGTCTTGGGCCATTTTCCAGATGAGTCCAGAGTGGGAAGTGGCTCACAGCCTCATAGCAGAACCTTGGGCAGCCCCCTCCCAGAAGCCCTGTCCCCCCAGTTTGCCCCCAACCCTGCGGCCCCCACACCCTTCCAGAAAAGACTTCAAAGGGAAGCTCCCGCAGTCTGTGCCTTTCCCTGAGACCCCTGGGCCTTCCAGCTTCCTGAACTCCAGGGGAAATTCTTTCCTGGAGTCAGGTGTCACTGGCCCTCTGGCTGTCCCCTCCGCTGAGCCAACAGGCCCAAAATAGCCCCAGCTGTCAGCGGGCATCCATCTCAACAGAGCTGGGGGCAGGGCCAGCCAGACCCTCAAGGCACTGGGCAAAGGAGGAGGTGGGAGCTTCTGACGCCCCCCCTCCTCCCCCAGCTGCTCCCTCCCCACATGAGGGTCTGGCTCAGCTCACCAATGGGGCAGGGGCTAGAATCCATGGCCCCAACCCCAGGAACAGCACTGCCTGGCTGAAACCCTACCCCAGGTCCCTCCATCCCCCAGAGCCGTGACCTTCAGCAGAGCCGTCCTCAGGGGCACTGGATGGCCCCCCACCCCGCTTGCTCTCTGCCTCCTCACCTGTCTCTATCAGGGGCACTGCGCAGCACCCAGGCGAGGCGCTCAGATGCTGGGGCAGGGGCTGCTGGGTCTCACCTCCCTCCGAGGGCCCAGGACCGACAAAGCTCCCACCCAGCAGCCCGCACTCCTGCCGGTCCTCAAACTGGACAGGGACAAAAGGACAGGCGGGTGCTATCAGATGAAGGAGACTGGGCCCGCCCCCACCCCGCCCCCACCACCGCCAGCCCGCCCAGCCCAGCTCCAAAATAGCCTGGGTGTCACTGCCCCAGATTTGGTTTCACCCCTGGCCCCAGGGAGGCAAAGGACAGAGGCTCGGGGCGGCTGGGGGAGGAGGAGGCCTGTGTGTTCCAGTAATGGTGCAGGTGGGGCAGGGGCCCCAACTCATGAGGACCCCTGCTCAGACCAGCATCCTGGAGTGCAGGGAGGGAGGGAGAATGGGGGATCCATTACCACCCCCAGGAGCACCCAGGACCATCCCCCAGAGGAGAACAGAACCACCCCAAGATGACCAGTCACCTGAGAGTCCTGCAGCCTCTTGGTAGAGGCAAGCAGCTAGGAGCCCAGCACAGGTGCCCAAGGGTCGGCACCCCTCCACCCTAACCACACACGCAACCAGGGTGGGTTCTCTATCCCTGGTCACTCCAGGAAACACCTGGCCTGGCTGGGTGCCCATGGCATCTTTACATGGGAGTGAGGGTCCCTGACACCCCATCCTGAGACCTTCACTTCCCAGGGACTAGGGACCCAGCCCCAAGGGGTGGGCAGGCAGGACAGGGGCAGGTGGTGTGGGTGGCACATGATGCTTCACGCCCCAGGATGGCTGCTCCCCATCCCCATGACTCCGGCGCGGGGACAAGGGGGAATGGGATGCTGGGCCCACCGAGGAGAGGAGGTGGGCTTCGCTTAGCAGGGGCCTAATGGGGAGCCAGAGAAGGCCATCTGGTAGGAGTCCTGGGGCCTCTCTTGGAAAGAGGCTGACCCACCAGGGTTAGGCGGTGGGGGAGCTGCTCTCTGCCCACCATCACCCCCCGCTCCTGAGCCAGCACCAGGGCATTATGTTCCTGCCTGGTACCCGCAGCCTGGCGGCTGAGCCACGTCCTCAACCCATCTATGCTCTCTACACCCAGGCCTGTATCCAGTGGGAAAACCCAGGCTCTGAGCACAGACCAGTACCTGAGCTACCCAAAGTCTCAGTCAGCTCAGGCCACCAAAACAAAGACCACAGACTGGGGGACTTAAACATAGACATTTATTTTAGAGTTCTAGGGGCTGCAAGTTCGACATGAAGGTATTGGCAGGTTCCATGTTGGCTAACAGACTTTCTTTCTGGTAAACAGATGGCACATTCTGTGTCCCAACTTGGCGGAGAGAGTGAGCTCTGACGTCTCTTCCTCTTCTCATAAGGGCAATAATCCCACCATGGGAGCCAACCCCATAACTTCATCTAACCCCATTCATCATCCCCCTCCATCCCCCTCCCTGTCTGTGGTCCTCCACAGCTCACCCTCCTCCTCTTCTGTCCTCCCTCCCTG